ACATACCTGTAAATTGTCCCAAACTGCACACTTATTCACGCTTGTGGGCTCTGCAGATACATATTTTCAGAAAAAATAATAAAAAGATAAATTAGATGTTTTCCAAATGAAAAGTGTGAGGTCTCTGAGTTGACACATTCAAACGAAGTGTGACCCCGTTATTCCTGTTACCTCTTTAGCTTTAAACAAGTGTTGGATCACCGCACAAACACCAATGTGGTTATTCATATGTATGTATCTATATATTTAAGTTGTTTAAACCAAATCAAATTAAAAAATTTAGCTGAGCCAACAGCACTAGAAATTACTTTCACTTTCACCTCTTGAAAATGAAACAAAATTGCATTTTACTGTTTGATAACTTCCCCTTCATTTCAAATGAATGTTAAAGAAAGAATTTTACCAGGAACACTTTTCAACCTGTGTGTATCCATTTTTAAGTTGAATACATTCCACAGAACAATAACAAAAACATCAAGAAGTAACACTTTGTTTGCACAGTACAGACTATTTAGCATAAAAAGATTCTTGATTGACTTATACTAGTCAAATACTGTCGACAGTTGGATAGGACTATAAATTAACATTAAATTATTGGCTAGAGTTTCTGCCTTAAAGGTCTCCAACCCAATATGTCTGGATGAATATAGGTTTCCTCAATTTATTTTTATTTCTTACTCCACCAAACATATTTTTAATTCCCTGACATTTTCTGAATTCACTCCAAACAGTTCAGAAACTGCAATTTATAATATATATTAAATGAGACATTAATTTCTATTTTTCATTGTTATTTTGTCAGACAGATACTTACCAACAGAGCTCCAAGAATACAAAGTCCATAGGTTGTAAAGTTAAAGGACAGGAAGTAAGAGGAAATCACCATCAAAGCCTTAAACACATGGACAAAAAAAATGGTAAACTGCTGCTGTCAATCAAGCCACTATCCCTTCATAATTTAATGCTAAACATTTTCACACTTCTTTACCAATTAACAAGTGACTGATGCATTACCTCCAAAATTTTCTGTGCGTTTCCCACCACAGTCTAAAACATACCATCAGGCATATTGATATGTCTGTGTCGCTCAGCCATGTACTAAGTAAACAGCTGGAAAGTGAATCGATGGAAGATCATCATAAATAATAACAATGCACATCTAATACGTTTCTAAAGCAGTGCCTAGTGTAACTTGGAGCAACACTGATTGGACCAGACTCAAACTTTTGTAGCTCCTGTTTTTCTAAGTTAATTGTTAACATCTATTCTGTTTATACAGTCCTGCCATGATACAGTCAAAACCTTTAATAATAATAATAACCAGCTTACCCTGTTCTTCCCGTTACCTCTTTAGCTTTAAACAAGTGTTGGATCGCCGCTCAAATGCCTATGTGGATATTCAGATGCATGTATCTATATATTTATGTTGTTTAAATCAGATCAAATTCATCCTCTTCTGTCTGGCCGTGGCTGTGCCTTGATAGTCCCTGGCCAGCTCATGCATGACGTGAAAGTGCTCCCAGAGCTGGCACAGGTTGTCCAGTCCCAGTATCACCAGCAGCTGTGGCTCAGGGTCTGCAGCTCACACCCAAACATGAGGGCAGCGGGGGTGCAGCTGGCGCTCTCCTGCACTGCCGCGCGATACACCCACAGGACCAGGGGAAGGTGCACGTCCCAGTCACGCTAGTGCTCATCCAGCGTGTTTGCTACCCTGAAATGCCTGCCCCCCACGACCCCGTGTACTGACCCTAACACAGCGGGCTCCCCTGTGCTATTCTGCGATTGCCAGCGTCAGTACAGCAGCCCCTCACGCTCCTCCAGGGTGTCCCACTGCGAGTGGTAGGCCTTTGTTTCAGGTCGCCGTTAATAATCAGGCAGAGGCGGTTCCTGGTTTCAACCACTAGGTGGCGTCTATTGCACCCGTACCACTTGTACTGACAATGCACTGGCACACACCCACCAACACACTATGTACAATAATAAACATTCAACACTATACGTGACATAACAACACAGCACGTTTACATACAACACAAGCGATTACGGAGAACTATTTACTGGGCGCTGCCCGTCAGATTCCCACACTACAAGACTTTTGCTCTCACATGGATACTTATATTCACAGATGCACACATACTTTATGTACAGTATGTGCAAGTGCTTTGCACCAGTATATTTATATGTATGTATATGTATGTATATGTGTATTCATATGAATAACAGTATGCATGTATGTGCAAGTGCTTAATATATATATTAATGTGTCATTTGGCCAAAACAGCTTCTCATTTATCAATCCCCATTGAATATAGACAGAATATTCTAATCTACTGCATGTTATTACTGTTGAAGAAACTCTCAAAATGTAGAAGAGGAGAACAAGTTTTTGAGCACCCCTTACACAGCGCTACACCAGTGACATACTGGCCTGGCAGTATGTGTCACATGTTCCAGAGTGACATAACTAATGACATAAGCAGCAAAGCCACATGTGTAATAGCTGAAATCTGCCTGGGGCCTCGTCCTGTCATTTCTCTGACTTCATCACAATGTCCCTTATACTCTCCTCCAT